AATGAAGATGTTAAAGACCTCAATAAGACCTTTACTTGTAACCGTACTTCCAAAAGCGGCTTCCCCCAGAGGGAGAAACCCTAATTTGTCCTAGCTGCATGCAGTTTTCAGTAAATATATTAGAATCAGTTTGACTTTCGCTGGATACAAGAATTCTTTGTACGGTCCTGACCATGGTTTCAAGTACTTATCTGCTCGTATTTCTGTCAATTTCGGGGTCCCGGCAGCTAAAACATGTTTACTTTGACGCCTAACCGATTTTACGACCTCGCTATATCGTGGCCCCGACTATACCTGCACAGGGTCGACAGATAGTGTAAAGCAACCCAGATTTGCCCCCGTTGAGGCAACCACCAGGCTTCAGCAGGTTTTTTGCAACTTTTCCTACATGACTTTCCAAAATTTCTTTTTTATGATACCTAATGTCTCCAAAGTCTTTTAGAATATAGGGCGGATTTACGCCAGGTAACTCTACACCAAATTCAAGCAAAAATCTACACAGGCGCTGCCTATTTAACTAAAGTTCGAACTAAACATTTAATAAAACAACATTAAACACATTTCTGGAATTTTACGCCTTTAACCAACCCGAAACGAAGGCGATCTCAACCGTTACGGCCCGTTCCGTAACAGTCGCCATACGGTATCGTTAACACCCTTATCCGTCCCTCGTGTCAATTTGACCACAATTTTCCGGTAAAAAATTTTATTTTCTATATTTAATAAAAGAATTTGCAAAATTAATTATTTATCTTTTCGTTTCGTTGACTTTTTACCATTGCGTCAAATTAACACCGAGGGACCAATTAAGATGCGAAACTCGAGGGACCAATGTTGACGTTAAGTGTAGAAATTCAAAGCCACCGAGAGCTTTTATCGCGATGATATTCTCAAGTTGCCAGGAAAATGGCAAAAGGTCGTTAACAATAATGGATCTGTTTTCATCGTTTTTATACGAAACTTTGATTGTACCGAAAACGAGGAAAGAATTCATTTCTATAACTGATACAAAATGATACACCAGCTGCGGTATAGTGAATTAATTGAAGTACATTGCATATGCATCGCGGCATATTAATATCAAACTGAATAATTTCACAGTCATATGCGGGAAATTATTGTGCTGCGTTCATAATTAATAATTTTGCAATAAATTTGCACGCGTAATTTGTTAAAAAAGGACATTGATACTTTTACACAAATTTCATAATTTATGGCTGCTTCGATCGACTGGAACTTTTTAATGGTAACGCTTCTGTTTCCTGAATAAGATTAAAGTGAAGTAACGTTTAGTTATGATCAATTGAAACATCGTAATTAACGTGTTACTAATTTGAAGACAGAAAAATATTTGGAAACAAGAACAGATGCAGTTTTACTTCGCGAAATTAACGACTTTGATACATCTTCGAGAGAAAAATTAACTTCGCATCTTGTTGAAAACCTTTTCGTTCCTGTAATGATAAAAGTTGCTCCTAATGGACTTTTCGTAGTAATTTTATATCTCCAACTTTCACTTCGCTCTCCGCAGATAAAATTTTTCCATTATTTTTAAGTAGAACATTTTATTATTCCTAATTTCGAGGAAATTAATTAACTTACTTCTGGAAGTTGAAGTAAGAACCGTTTCGGTTTCTTTAAGACGAACATTTACTGTATTAAAAAGGCAGTGCTAATAGAAAATATTAATTTTAAAAATATTCCTGACGTCAATTATATTTTACTAATTTCGTCTAATTTATCTGAACACAAGTAATGATTTTCTCCTCGTACAAACGAAAACGCGAATTTTTTTACCAACTTCTACAAATGGAGAAAAAAAGTAAAGGAAACGTTTGATAAATTAAATACAAGTTCCTCTTTGCACAGAGTTTAATGGGGCGAAATGCTAAATCCTAACCTAAGAAAAAATGTTTACTTCCAATTAATTCTAGCACGCTTTGAAACATTTCTTGTTAGAAAGTTTAGGAAATGTAACCGTCATTGAGTTTCACGTAGGATAATAATAGGCAAAGAAAGAAAATAACAATGAAAAACATGCACAGATTATATACGGGTCTATTGTTGACATTTTGAATAACACGGGGTTCAAACTGCGAGGCAATTCCAACCAAACGTGGAAAAGAAATGGTAAACAGATATCAAATAACAGTCTGGGGTTCGAGTATTTTCAGAACAACTTTCTTCAGTCTAATTTTCAATATTTTGTACCTCTTCTGTGCACATTTCAGTACGAATAACTAAAATTCTCTAAAATATTTTATTAAAACAAAAATTTAATTATATTAATATTTTGCTATAGAAGAAAAATTTAATTACATTCAAACGTTCGATGTTATTATATGGATCGCCGATTTCCAACGATAGCTGCCTTAAGTGAAATTTTCATTAAGCGAGCAAACAATCTGTTCAAATACGGTAGACATTAAAAAAGATCAAAGTATAAAGAATCGAGCAGCGTCGCTATTTTTCTCTAATTAAGTGTGCTAATACAGCTTTTCTTTCACTCGGATTAAAAGTTTCGCCAAAATGTTTATTTTTCTCGAGATGCAGAACGTGATAAAATTGATCTCCATTTTAATTATATTAATTATAGAAATCGTTCGTTCTTGTTTGCTTTCGCTTTATAATCAATTTAATTAAATTAAATAACAATAAAGAAAAGAATAATACACAAAGTTATAATACGGATGATACATAACCTCATTTGCTGACATGTGAATTCGCCTTAACATTTAAAGTTGGTTAAATTAAACATAAATAGACCGAAACATTTGAAGAATAATCAAAAACAAAAATAACGCAGTAAGCCATCGTATGGGAAACACATAACCTCATTTGCTGACATGTGAATTCGCCTTAACATTATATAGAAGCGTAAACAAACACGCAATTACGCAGATATAAATTACATCTTCGCGAATTGCATTACGGCACAATAAAGTGATTGATACGCAATAAGAACAACTTTATCGCAAAGGGCTGGCAATAAGATCGAGTAGCCAGATGTCGCGTAGTTAAATTACTAAGTTATTGGATATCGTCGATCGATTACCCTGACGTCCGAAATATCAGGAAAAATGAACTGTCTCCACGATATCGAATAACTTTTTCAGAAACACTCTAAACGAAACTGTAGAATTTTTTACGATTAAAATATATTTATAAACGATTCGATATCAGTTGCGAATGAGAAATACGTACAATAATTATTATTCTTAACGATTTTCAACTTAATTTTTGTCTAAATTAAATATTTCATTTACTGTAATTTTCGTTTTTATAACGATTCATTTTTACTGGGATAATTATTATGCAACTGTAAAATCTCTAAAGTCCCTAAACGAAAGATCAAATTTTTAAAAAATGTATTTTTAAATAAAGATTCATACTTTAGAAAAGAAAAAAACATTATTTTTGCTAGCAAAGAATTTCTACGTGAAAATTTCTAACTAACAAACATATTTAGCGCAACTTCCTTTAATTTACTAGCAACTTCGTACGTGAATTGCCTGCAAATCAAATGTTACTTCCGTTAACGTAATTGAAACGTGCTCTTCAAATGAATGCAGACATTTTCTTCGCTATAATAGAATTCCAGCAAATAAAAGAGAGAATTTTTATTCATATTAAACGTCCCTGGTATCGGAACTGTGGGATTATGATTTTCAAATAAAATTTCCCCATCGAAATATCCTTTAATTAAAACATCAACGCTGACCGGAACAAATAGTTGTACAAGTCCGGACGAAAATTAAATTTCAAAAGTAATTCGTTTAAATCGTACTCTTCGTCCGTCGCTCTAGGATAAATTAAAGCAACGTAATTTGCGTTACCTTCAATCAAATCCTAATGCCTTTAGAACGTCGAATTTTGCTAAAATGAACTTGTCCAAATAAAAAGAGACCGTTCGAAAAAAGGTTCACTACACAGTCAACTTCGTGAACTAAATACCAATTGTCAACAAAGAATTTAAAGCACCCTTTATTTCGGTAAAAATACAATAATAAGAGATTCATTTATTTCCAGGTAATAATAATCGTCCTACTAATTTGACACATAAAAGACCGCAATGATTACGAAGATTCACCTTGGAAATAATTCGTGAAAACGTACCACGATTACACGTACTGCATCGTTAAAGTGGAACTGACAGCGGTAAAATTTCTGTTTACGTTCAAATACTCGTCGCGAAATATTGGTAGGAAAAATACATAATTAAGAAAGGAAGTGATTCCAGACGATATTGCATCACGAAACAGAGGTCAAAATCGAATTAACGTGCCCACGAAAACAGACAACCATGACATTCAAGTACGATACTTTTTTTCGGGAAAGTGAGAACTTCGGCGAAACATATTCTAACCTAACCAGCATGCACGCACAATCAACGAACGATGTTTGTTTGACTTTGTCGTTTGTTTCGTTCGCGCCTAACTGTCCGCCACTGCAACGTCGGAACGATTCTACCGTGGTATGGACTCCATGGACCCGGACAAAAATTTTCACTCTTTCTCACACGAATTGCTTTTATTTATCCCTCGTGTTAAGCTGTCGTAGATAAACAAATAAGAGAAAACAGAAAATTGTTGGGTTTAAAATGATATCTATGAAACAAGTATGCCAGCAAAGTAAAACCACTATGAACATCAGGATTGAGATTATGATCCCGCATTTGGTGATCTGTCACGTCCGATTGACAGCTAGCATCCTACGGTAGGCAGAGCGCGCCACGCAGTCCCGACCTGACACGCAGCCCGAATAACCTACGACGCGTATGTTATAAAAGAAACAGGTTAATCTGATACAAAGTTAAAGCAGTACACAACGACAGGCGCCCTTGAGGCAAGGGTATGAACAGAAAAATACAAGTGATTGTAGAAAAAAGGGCGTGTGAATGCCCGCCGAGTGTCTGGCGTCCGCAGTGACACGGGGTAACAACACGAATATCGTGTGAAACACGGAATCTGCACGAGAATCTAGCATTAATTATCGATTACCTGGGTATGCAATTCGGTGCAGTGCGATCCACTTCCCAAGTGGCAAACAGCTTCATGGGAACAGGCCGGGTGGCCGGGGCTGTCGTCTTTGTACGCTCCGCCATTTTTGGCCCGTCGGCCCACAGAAACACTCCCCACACCTTCAGTTCACCGCGGCTCGCGGCTGACTGACTGACTAAGCCCGCTCGTGGCGCCATGCGAACAACGTTTTCGTGAGTCAACGAAGAATTACGGAAAAGTACGAAGACATCTTTCGGAAAATAAATGAAGTAAACGAGCACTTGTGAAATATCAATTGTGAAACAGCAATATTGTCGGTAATGTTTTCCGATGTTATTCTTTAACATCCGTCGTTTGTTTTCGTAAACATAAGGTCGTACAAAGCCGTTAAAAATCAAAGGGATTTAGATTTCGTATGCGAGAAATACTATCGATGTCTTAATTGTAAATATAAAGGCGACAGTTTTCACGTGAAACATTTGGTTTATACTAACAATACAAGTGACGTTAAAAATAGTAGGATCATTTAATAAATAATAATATTTTGGAGAACTTTTTATTACAAAAATGCACAGGTGGTGTGAATAATCAAATAAATATACAGTGTTCAAGACCGAGAACTTACACTAAACCGGGGTAAAGGAAGTTGTAACCGCGTTCTCAAGCACAATGTTTACGAATGTCACTTCCATAAGAATACTCTCAAGAGGGAACGAGATAGAGCATCGGTTAGGTTTTCCAGCGAAGCGAGGTGGGGATGCGAATATTACACTGATCCGAGAAACACTGTACACATTTTGTTTTCTTAAAACGCATTTCCAAATTTTAATATAATTTTTAATTAAATTAAATGATACGATAACCACCACATTAACGCAGGTTGAATACCTGCTACAAATAATATAAAATAGAGTCTTCTTTTGTTACCAGAAGCTGTGTATGACCTATGGTTTTGTGGAATAACCCTCAATTTTAACGATCTCATAAGAAAAAATACTAAAGATACACTGAAGTATAACCAAACTACATAATAACCAAACTTTCCTGATACTAATGAAGCCGCAAGAACTGTGTTAATACCGACATACTTGTAGCCACAGAAAGCCAATAAATCTAATGTTGAAAGACTTGTTTCTAGATTCATCACATAAAGGCTTATAATGTGCACCAATAACTCTATGACACCCCATGCTAGTGCAGAACTAGCCAAAATACCTAGCTGCTCTGGTGTGAAACGTTCTTGAGTTCCTAAAACTAATCCAGCCATAAGTATATAGGTTAAAAACGCCATTGTTGGAATATACATATCTGGAGCATTTTTTTCATAACGTGGTTGCAGTGGTACATCTTGCTCATATTTTACAGACCAATCCTGCAACAAATGTTATTTATTTACATCTTCTTAAAAATAATTACATTACTGTTTACCAAATACAAATAGCTTACCTTGTGAGTGAATGAAAAGAATAACAAAGCTAGCTTTTTAAAAACATAGTTTGAATCAACAGCAAAATAGTACTTCAGAGCTGTAATTGGTAGATATTTTTGAAGTTGTTGTTTGCCAGATCCTACTAAAGTATTTCCATATTCAAAAGCCATGTCTGTAATTACTGGCTGTGTCAATAATTGTGTTGCATATTGCGAAGGTGGATATTCCTCTCCACGACCTTCAGGAGATGTATAAGTTTGCATTGGCGGTGCATTAAATCCATACAGCGGTGCCTGTTGTTCTGGTACATTGAAACCATATTCAGGTACCATACCATTATTCACTGGAGCCTAAAGAATAAAACAGTAAAGAGGTATCCTTCAAAATGAAAGATTTATTTATTTCTTGTTAAACTGTACCTGTTGTTGATTATACATATATGGATTCTGAGGAATCGGTGGTGGTGTAGATAAACCAGCAGATGGATCAAGTAACCTTTTCGGTTTCCCTATTAAAAATTTCTTAGATAAATTGCACTAAATAATAATGTAAAATCTACAACTTAACCTTTATGTATAATATTAGTCAAATATATGAAGTTATTGTTTATTATATAAAGAAGGCTTAGAAATCATAACCTCTACATAGTGTTCTACTAAATTACGTTGCACTCTATCACGTTCTTTAGAAAGTATAAAATATGTTCCTTAAATACTAACTCTCTTATTCACATCAGTTCGTTACAATGTCAGATTTAAGCTATTAATTACCATGGACTCAAAAAACGAGATAAAATTTTTATCTTCAAAAATCAACAAACTCACCTCGCCGTGGATTTGAATGGTTATAATGCATAATTTTCCAGCTAAATTGCTCCAACCGTTTAACAAAAGAGACCAAATATTAATTCCAATTTTATTTTCGTTGTATTCGAAATCGTCTATTTGAAGGATGAAATACGAAAACAATTCATGCTACACGTCGCCATACCCCATCATTCATTGCGGAGTCCCCCACTACTAGTATACTCTGACCCTGCTTCTGTCATTCTGTAGCAGATGTTCCGAATGACCGTAATTAATATGATTCTACATATTGCGATTATTACAATGTTAAGATTCATTTACACATATACAAGAATATTCATTTTCATAAAAATCCTCGTGAAAATAATTTATTCTAATTTGTTCACTTAACTGGTTAATTAAATTTAATATTAAACAAATTAAAACGCAAGAAATGTTATATTTTGCAAAACACTATTGAATAATTGAAATGAAAATTATATTAATATATTTACAATATTTTTAAAAATAAATTAAAATAAAAAAAAAAAATCAGGGGGCACCCGGGTTTGAACCGGGGACCTCTCGATCTGCAGTCGAATGCTCTACCACTGAGCTATACCCCCTGTTGTAAAGTAGTTTTAAGAATAGAAACTTCAACAAAATAGTATTTAGATATATTTTCCCATTTATTTATAAAATTTCTATATATGCTTTAACTTTAATACATATACTACTTATATGTACGTTTCTTAAACTCCTTCAAGGTGAATATATATAAAACACAGTACACATTATGCAACGATACTTATATCAAATAAAATGACACAAAACAAAAACGATACGTGTTTATAATTTCAATTTCGTTGTTATATGTTTGTTTCTTGAATTCCTGTGTATAAAATGTTAATTCTTAAGAACACTAGCTACGATATGAGATCAATGACTATCGTATCTCCATTGGTTATGTTTACGCCACTTATCGTTTAGTGTAAAAAATTGATAATATATGTTAATATCAAATATAAAAAATTTGATAAACGCAGTAGACGTAATAAGTGACAAGATTTATCTCCTAATCGTGGAACAATAAATATTTTCGCCTCTGTTGATACGTTACTGAGACGGTGGTAGCTAAGCAACCCTTACATTAACTGGTCGCGGCATCAAAGGGATATCAGTGCGCGTCCCACCCTCATGTGGTGCGCTTCACAGCCTTCGAAACGTAGAAACCTCGTGGACGAAACGTCATTCAGTGGCGCATACGTATTTCAAGATTACACCTCGCAATGGAAAATAGTCATAAGCTAGCTGCGCGATTTTTCAGAAAGTAAGATTTTGTCAACACAACATTTTTGCCATGCTATTCACTTTTTCAACACTACGAATTCGATTCGAACAACTCTTACTTGCAGCCAGACGCACGTGCAACGCTTGCATTGAAAAACAATGGTCTTTTCTGTTTTTACTTTAAGAAACTCTTACTGTTCTTTTCTTTTTTTTTTTTTTTCGTATCAATATAGTTCACTAAGGATTGAAATAAAATTAATTACTCGTAAGCAATACAACATTTTTTTGTTCCACTACTGTTTTAGCTTTATAGTGAGTTCATATTATTAAGAAAACATTGTATACAATAATTAAACAATCTTACGTGTCATTTTCGACGAGACAAGTAAAAAATTGCATAAAATTTGAATTAACACGAAGTATTGAATATTAACCCATTCGAAGTCTTGTTATAAGTCTTATTATAAAACGATCCTCGGTAAAAAAAAATAAGAATATAGTGACGATGTTTGAATATGTTTTACTGTAACTTTAAACCAATATCAATTTTAACTTTTACACACTTTTTTCTGTTACTTTACTTTATCTTCTCGACAACTGTTTAAGCACTGACTGATACAAATTTCTTTTCAAGACGCACCTGGTGCGTCGTCGGCTTCGAACGGGTTAAACTCGTGCAAAGTAATATTTTATATTAGAAAATTCATCTGAATGTACATTTTTACACTACACTATACCATCTTACCTACTGCAACAAATCGCGTTATATTCAACCCTTTCCAGCCCAATTTAATTAAATTCTTCAAAAAGGGGAAAGAACACCAAATGTATCAATGTGGCCACTTGTAAAAACCTTCATTTCACTAAAAAATGATATCGAATGACATTTAAGAACAGAACAGCAAAAATAGTACACGATAGTCCAGTTGTTAACTTTAATCATTAGTTTGGAGAGGGTTAAATTGTCATTTCTTCCATCAACTTCCTATTTGTATCACACGTTGAAAACACTCAGTTTCACAACTTTTCCACCAAAAATCACTTCACACGTTCTCCACAGCCGAAGTCCTGATAACAGATTCATCAATGAAACACACTTATCCGAACAGCAGCTATTCGACTTACTTTAAACACGCTAATACTACCTGGCAGTAAATCACATTCACTTTCGTTAGTTTTCCCAAACATGCACACACACACGTACAACGAAGCGAACGAAGCAACATCGTCGAAGTGAAAGAAGAAGAAAGAAAGAAAAAGATTGAAAATTTCTTCCGCTTTTCGCGCGGCGCTACGATTTTCACTCGATCTCGATCGTTTTCGGATCGACGATCGATCCCCCGCGTTCACCAATTAAACACCGCGGATCAAGCGTTCTCGCATTGTTACCGCATCGCAGACGTAATCTTACGTGAAACGAAAGATGTTATCATTAAATATTAACGACGCGCCATCACGAAGGAACGAAGGCCTCCGCGAATTATTAACGGAGCAATAACGATCGACGTGCGGCACGGTGAATCAACGAAATAACGATTTTCAGTCATCGCCGCGTTACGGCAACACGTGCACATGGGTTCGTTGTACGTGTGCATAGATATCATTAAACGTGCGCCACTTCGTTAGGCACCGCCACACCGATTCACTCCTCCTTCGCTGGAAACATTCTTGGAATTTAGAATGCACTTTCTTCCGAGCCTCGCCATTTTCATATTAGCGTAAAGATACCGTGTTTCCTGCCCTCACGCTCCCTTACTCGCAACGAATTTCTTCCCTCCGCTCTGCGTTTCTCAAGGAACTTGTGAAAATTCCATCTTTTCTTCGCGAATAATCGATCGTGTTTCGTACGACTTGGGAAAAAAGAGAAATCGTGCCTGAAGTTTGATCGAAGCGAAAGATTTCGATTCTCCTCGCTACCGAGATATATTCTATCTTAATGCCCAAAAATCGTCGTGTTTCGTACGATTTAAGAAAAGACAAAAATTGAATGATATTTTGTACAGCTACAAGTTAATTAAAATTATGAATTTAGGAATTAAAAAAATATTCGAGATCATCGTCGTGTTTCATACGATTTAAAATGAAAATTGAAAGATACTTTGCATGGCTATCGTTTAATTGAAACTATGAATTTTCGAATTGGAAGAATACCCAAGAAATACTTCACATCCTGTTCTTTCACATTTTCCACTCTCCGTTTCAAGCGACTTTTTACTTATTTCAAGATCAATATGTGAGAATTCACTGACTGTTTAGGTGCAAAAAGAAAAAAGGGTACATTCGTGACGATAATTATTCCATCACAGGTTCTTGCGGTCGACACACCGTTAAGAATGCACTGTAACACGCATATGACAAATTCACCGCTGTTTTATCAGTCGTATTATGCCGTGAAGGTCTCATGCAAACTCATCATCGAGTCGTTGGACTGACTGTGATAATTGATAAAAAAAAAAAAAAAAAAAAAAAAAAAAAAGAAAAAAAAGGAGTGAAAGAAAAGAATCACGTAAGAGCGATGCAGAATTTTCAGGACAGATGGATCGCAACTTGAAAACCTCTATCGATTCTCCCACACTGTTCCACACACATTATAAACTGACTGAAAGTCTGGTTCCACGATAGCGTGACACGTGACGGGAAACAGCCTAAGAACGTAGACACTGTTACTTAAGAACGGTAGTAACACCGTTCGAGGTGCAGAGAAAATTGCTTCGATGATGCATACACTGTGAAATGATTTCCTGCATTTCGACCGATTCTACCCTATGTGACAAAGCGAGAATTACTCGTCACAGTGAACCAGTTTAACTGGAGCGAATTTCGATGATAACGTTCGTTCAAACGAAAATTTGTCAATGTTCTGAATGTTCGAATTTCTATTTTCCTTTTTTTAACCCTTTCGTAACCAACGGGACGCATATGTCCCATTTCATTGATCTCAATTTAGCATCCGTTACAGACACAATGATCGATAGATAAATAAAAAATAAAACATTCGTACATTTCGTTGAGTCTGAAACGGAAGTCGCGAGAATTATTCGTCACAGTGAACATTCGCTAAAACGAAAATTTGTCACGCTTTCTGAATTTTCAAATTTCCATCTTTTCTAACCCTTTCGTAACCAGTGCACATGTTCCACTGTGCACATGTGCACCAGTGCACAAATTAAAAAAAGAAATAATTCGGTCGTGAAAGGGTTAATGAGACGAAAAATTTCGTTGAGTCTCAAACTGGAGATTGTTTTATCAACGTTATCCTTTCGTTGTAAGTCGATCGTACTTCGTACTTTTCACCGTCCACTCGAATTAGAATCCTTCGTTTCATGGCGAACTTCAAGGACAACAGCCGACACGACCGATGAAAGCAATTTCGTTTAGTGCTACTGTGCCAGTGGCATGCACAGCTGTCCGCCGTTAATTTCTTATCAAACTTCTTTTTCCTTGAAAATCAATCGATTCATATCGCTCTATTTCCCGCGTGCACATACTCCCGCGGCTATGCGCCTAACTTTCAGACGCGCAACCATCACTCTTCGCTCTTTCGTTTCTTACAACTTCTTCATCCTTCCTTCTTCGCGCAATCGGTGCAGAAAGCTGGCATTATTCACGCTGGTTGAATGTTAAATAAAAGCATTAAAATTTCAAATTTTTTTGTATCGATTACGCGATAATATCGTTGCACGAAGACCGATTTTCCCTGCCATAAGCAGAGGGCAATTAAAGTGAGTGAAATAAACGAGCAGCGCGTCGTACTTCGCAGGCTGTTTACATTTTCCTCCTTTCTTCTCCTTCTTCCTTCGTTTCGCTTGATGTTGTAATATCATACGGAAGACAGGAAATAAATCGTTTTAATTTCCTTTCATAATTTCTCATCGGAACAACCAACCCAAGTGGTTTTGTCAACGTGTACAGCTTGATCGATGTACTACAAAACGTGGTCTCGTTGGTTTACCTTAAAAGGACAATGACACATCGAGGAAGAACGGGAAAAAAGAATGAAAATTGGACATATCGACGACCTTGCCGTGAAATCCAGCATAATGGTTCCCGACGACTGATAGGTGTTGTGGCGTTAGGTTTCTATGGCAGCGAGTGACCTGGTCAGTCTGCCACGTGGTCAGTAACCGAGCTTTAAATTCGGGTCGAGTTTGGTGATAAACTCCTGATGGGATCTCCGATCGTGTCAGCCCTTCCTTGTGGGAATGGGGTCTCAGTGTCAATCAATTAATCGTTCATCAAATAATTCAACTATTTTTACATGCATAACGAACTCGACTCGGAAACTGGCCACACGATCGATACTGGTGCAACTTAGAAATATTGAAAAATCTGCACACCCTTGCCTTGGACTTATTTACCTCTTGCGACGTTTCGTTGTGGAATTGTGCGAATTGAGGAATATCGTTTAGCGTGACGATTGTTATTGGAACAGTTACAGTTCAGGTATTCGTTCTTTAGTTACTAAGTGGTTGTGTTTACTACTGGCGCACAGTAGTTTAAGCGCCTTTAGTCAGACAGTAGTAACGAGGAGAACTATCAGGTCGGTGCAAAGGAAATGTCGTTTTTTCTTGAAATTTTTCTACACAATCGTCGAGACGAAGGCATTCGCTGTGGTACACGTGTATTGAAGAGTAAAAAAATTTATGATACAATTATTTGGACATTATTATCTGACATGATGAATAATCGGTATTTGGAAAAATTGCGGTAGAAACACTGAAAATATAAATTCAGCAATTGAAGAAGGTATGTAAATGTTAGGACACTTCGATGTTGGTGTGCACAATTCGAAATTAAGTGACTTTTTATTGGAAAATGAGCCAAGAGGAAGGCTAGATAAGACAATCGATGACGATTTAAGATAACGTTTTGAGAAAAAGTTTTTGAATTCAAAGACTAATGTTTTTCGTACATTTGGAACAACGAAACTAGTTAATCGTTGGAAAAAGTGTGTAGAATCGCGTGGAAATTATTTTGGTTAAATGCATTATTTTTTTAAGAAACTATTAAACTATTACATGATTTAAATTACATTTCTTCGCTGAAGTTAGTATCTTGTATCAGTAAAAATATACAGGCTGCTAGCGCTGTTAGTTTTCAGTGTTTTTCTCACAAGTGGTAGATTTACGAGAAAGATAGAAGAGGATAAAGTTTCATTATTTCTTGTACGCAACCCGATGGCTTAAATAGATTTTTTAAATTTGCAATGGTTTTCGCATAACAACGATACCACGAATTTTTTTAAATCAATAGCTATAATTCTTTTTATATTATATGAAAGCTCATATAAACTCATTTTCAAACGCGATTTCGTGTGAATGTTTGGTGTGGCATAAATCAATGACGCACTATTATTAAGATTTCATTTTTATGACGGCACTTTAAATGGAAAGAGACATTTAAAAATTTAAATTCCACAAAATAATTTTGTAACGGCTGTTTAGGTTTGCTTCTCGTTCAATAAGTGTCCTAATACTTATGAGCGGGAGTGTACGCAGTAAAAAAGGCCGGGGTGAGATTAAGTAGCTGAAGGAAAACTTTCATTACCTTCATTCACAATCAGTTGTATGCTGATGTACGCTGTTTCTTAATTTCGAAACAATTTTGCAAAAGAATTTTACTTAAGGTGGAATAATAATTAATGATACGTATTATTGATCGCAAGTTTGTAATTATCGGTTTTGTTATTCGATTTGGTAGGCAGTAATTACTTATAGTCATGCAACATGACTGTATAATTATCAATCTTCTACAGGTAAAGTAGATTCATTAATAATTTCTCAGATCAGTTTATCAAAATTTCTGAATACCATTAAACTGGTCAATCGCCTTTATTATAAACTCACTTTAATTATAAAGTAGACAGGAAAATCACACAACTTAGGTAATTCATTAAAAAAATTGCACAAATGAAGATATTCAGTGACAAATTTAAAAGACTAAAAATCGCATAATCTTAATAAAAAGTATCAAAGTAACGTTAACTATAATAAAATTTCATTATAATACTTTCTCTCAAGTAAATAATTGTGAAACGTTAACAAAATACATTCTTCGACGTAAAACAGGTTTCTTAAATCAAAATCTCAGCTGTTGACGCTTCGTGAAGCATTGTCGTGCTCGAAATTCGTCAACGATCGATTTGAAACGCGACGATCGTCGATGCAATATTTCCACTTTCGTTTCTCTCATTTCGTGAAAAATTTAAGAACGTTCAACCGAACGATTCTCTCCTAACCTTTCAAAAATTCATGCCCACGCTGTTGAATAAAGTTTGCATTCAATCTTTTTCCAAGGGCTGACCCAGTTCACGGGTAGTGGAACCGGACATTCTCTTCGGCGCGATGAATTCGATCCGCCGAGAGGGCGAAAGATGCTTCCACGCGAGGTCAGACCAGTTGTGAACCGGTGCCAGAGACGGGCATGGACACTAAGACTCCACCAATCCCGTTGAAGGTCCAGGAGAAGCCAAAACCGAAGCAGCAGGAAAGTGTTGCCAACGTGTCCTTGCCCCCGCTGACACCATACAGGAATCATCGTCAGAAGCAAAAAATCCCTGGTGCTCAATGGTCGCGTGATGTACCCAGCGCTATACGATATCAAGATCATCAAAAGAAAAGGCCATACAGGTACACTTTCACTCGGATCGATATACGTATGTGTATCTGTTTGATTGTTCTTTGAAGTAGCTTTACTCACTATCTCTCCCCTAATTTGAAGAATTTTTATGAGATACCTACAGAAATCTTTTACGAGACTAAAAGTGTACTAATTTCGCAAGAAGTATATTAGAAGAAGAAAGTTTATGATCTTTCAAATAGAAAGTTTCTCGTGAAAATTTACTTGGAATATAACTGCAAAAAAGTAAAGTGAGAAACATGTAGAAAGCTTTCATTTGGGCATTCTACATGTAGTGACATACAGGGTGTCCTAATTGTTTCGGATCAAACTTTGTCAGTGTGTTCTATGGGTATAGATAAGAGAAAAATGTTATATGAAGATGGGTCGTCTGAAGCTTTGTTAAAAAGTTATAAGACAAATACGAAATAGAAAGGGAACGGTAACGGGTGTGCTGTTATTAGGAAGCAAAATAGGAATAGTATGTTTATGCATACTGTGTTTACGATCTGAGATCGTTAAAGGTCTTGAATGTATCTTTTTCCTGTATCATTCTTGTCTCGTATCATAGCAACCGCAAGTTCGTTAACATTCTCTCCCTATTTTCGTTAGAACTGTTTAACAGAGCTTCATACGACCTATGTTCACATGACAGTTTTTTCTTACTTATACCCATAGAACGTACTGACGAAGTTTCAGGAAGTTTGATCGGAAAAAACTGGGACACCCTATATACATATGTACATACTTTATGCATGTATGTTGGATATTCGACGTACAACTGAACGTCGCAAGTTCTAGATTTAGATGTTTCAAATGTCGTACGGAGACACTAAGAATAGGTTCATGTTAACTTAAAAGTACTTCGTTAGATTGTCTGTTATATATTTTCATAAATATTTCAGACTGACATGAGTCATTCAAAATTGACGCTAGATACCAAGTTTCGTAACATTCATAAATATTCATTCGCACTTCGGTACGATATGAAATATCGTCTATTTATGCTACACGACATGCTTTATAAATACAGAACTATTTATTTACACAAATTAAAAATAGAACTTTCTAAAAATAATTACCCAAAGATTAAATTTTACATCCAATGGACAAATACCCACACTGAAATAATTCTACGATTGTACCCTTTCAAAATATGTAAAAAAAAAAAAAAAATCGACTTTTTGTTAAACTACTTTTACTTAACAATATATCAACATCGTACATATTTTCAGTGATAATCACAATCACAATTAACAGTTCATAATGTTGTCAAACAAACTACCTAACCATTGCATCTTCAAATGTTCTTTCGTAGAGAATGTACAGTCGAAATTCTGCTGCAAGGTGTAATCGATCATTTCATTTTCTCAGAGTGCTACAAATCGGCGCGACGCCTTTGATGCACGCTTGCCAACAAGGCGACAGAGCAAGAGTCCTAAGACTACTGAAGGAGCAAGAGGACACGATCGGATACAGAGATCGCACTCTGAGGAACGCTCTGCACTATTGCATGGACGCTGGAACCGGAGGTGCCGTCGCTGCGGCGGCACCGGAACTGGTGAACGCGCCCGACGCAGAAGGACACACGCCACTTCATTTGGCTGTGATCGCCGGTGACACGCAATTAGTTGCTGTTCTATTGGCAAACGGCGCCGACGTGAACGCTAAGGACCTGGAAGGACATAGCGTCCTCCATTGGGCTACTGGTACGTTTTTATTGTTAACTCTTAGAGGCTTCACCCCATGCGAATTTTCTTTTAATCCTACTAAAAAACGTGACCACTAAATAGATAATGTCTGACTATACTTGCATTTGTTTCACTTTCTGATTCGTAAGTAAAAAACTTCACCCATGATAGCATTAACGTGATTTTCTTCGATGCTTTTAAGGGTTGAAGACCTTTACATTTTTCTAAATAAAATTATTTATCAACCCTATCGCTGCTGTGAAAGTTTCGCAATAACTCCTCCATTTTGTAACACCTTTACTTTTTAAAAGTTTGAGAAGAAAGCTGAAAGTTATACTTATACTCTCTGAAAAAATTGGAGCTTTCCGTTCGGTAGTTACCTACGAAAAAAATTCTCAAACTTTTTGTTAAGACATATCAGGGTAGTGTACACCCTTAAGAATCTTGCAAATAATATCTGCCACATGTTGCATTCCCCGGGGAATCTTCTCTACAAATATGTCCCTTCCCTCGATTCATCCCTTGCAGAAAAAGAAAAATAGAGTTCTAACGTTGACGACATAATAGTGGGCGTTTAATATTCAGTTTGTAAAGTCCGGGCGGCGTGAGAACTGTAATTTTACGGTCAGAAGATACGCTCGTGATCGAGATTAATCAACGTATCGTTTAGGTCCGCGAGAGAAAAAAAAAAAGTGAGCGTAAATTGAGGGCTTACCGTGGAGAACAGTTTAAGTTTCCACAGCTGAAAGGTCAAATCGCTGGCGACCACGCGCTCGTAACGATTCCTTAGAGGCTGCGGAAACTGTGAATTACAAGGCATATCTTTCCTGCCGATCTTCGATAAAATAAGGGTATATTGGTCAGGTAAGGTTAGTGGGTCACTTCAGGTGACGTCATTCCGGTTAGCTAAGGAACACGCAAGACCCATGCCGAGATAATCCACAAGATTGACCATAGCCGTCCTTGGTGTATTCAAATGACAAGAGATTTATTGCCGTAGACCGCAATTGCCTGCTCTTACATTACGTCTGCTCGGGTTTACCGTATGAAAAAGAAACTTCCTATCGACAAGCTTCATCTGTATAATTCACGAGCGTCTCGAGCCGCAAGGACAGAAGTAATTCAACGAAATGCACTTCTCACCGAGTCATTTTATTCCGACCTACTTATCGGGTGTCGATATTTCGTCGCTTCCAGCCGCTCGCGTTAACGGTGTCTCCTGAATCGATTACTCGACAATTATCGAATTATCTTTAAACGAGGTGATAAGAGAGTTGGGTTGCTGTGTCGATGATTATGCGCTCGGTTTATTGATAATACTGTCCGAGAGAAAAGTTCTTCGATCTCTCGTAGACACTTTAATGTGTATTTTAGAAGTGATACGACTTGAAATAAGTCAGACCTGCGTGAATTAGAGAAACATCGAAATCGTCGCAACTCAAAAATAGCGGATTTTCAAGGGCTGAGAATTGAAAATTAAGAAAATAATATTTGATCACTGTTCCTCTAGAGTCTATTCTTTATGCTAATATTATTTGTTTAGTAGATAATTTTTTTCTAAGCTCGCGAACAGTTTTTCGGTTTTACGGAGACACCAAAATTTTGGAGTCACTTTTGAGATATATGTGGGATATGGAAAAGGTGACTTGCATGTTTTATTTGGAAAAACAGAAAGTGACCACTTGTTTGATGTGCGTGCATCATGGTACCTATTTGTAATTGTGCTGCACAATTGGTTTGACCTTTTTATTATGAAAAAGCGTATTTGTCGTTAGCGTAATGTTACCAGTAGGCACATGGCAATGTTCATGAATTTATATGCAAAATTGATTGCATTACCGCCTTGAACTTCTGAACATTGAAAAAGGAAATTTTCCTTGGACTCGTAGAGTGACTTGATTATCGCAGAGTTTGCAAGCGGCGACAAAAACTGAGTAAAAGCTGTTGAGAATATTTCAATAAATTAGAAAACATTCATTGTCGTGCAAAGTCAACAAATTTGAATCATTCCTAAGTTTAATAAAATGAATATATTCTTAATAATTCTTTTTTTCTTATTCCAACATATAACCATCGTCATATTAAATATTGAAGTCCAACAAGAATGTAATTTTTAAAAATAAATTTTCGGACCACCTGTCAATTTACACCAATGTTAAATTCGCTACTAATTCTTTATAAATTTGAAATGAATATCGTGAAAATTAATGGCAATTTATTTCGTTTCGATTGATTTGAGTAACAAAGAAGTCGTTGAAAAATTCATAAAATTGCTAACCTTTTCTGGAAATTTTTGTGTAATTTGCAATACATAGTGATCCCAAACTTTTGGCCGGTAGTGTATACATATTCAGAAAGATACTTCTAAAGTAGAGTTTGGTAGTTGAAACTGATGGAGAAATAAGTGTATGCCTTAAATTAACGATCTAAATTTTTATAGAGATAAAAGATCTATCTAGAATCAGGTAGTATAAAATTGCACAAACGTTGACTTGCAAAGAATCATTGTGCATTGCAAGTAGCACAAAAATATCCAGAAAATAAGTCAACAGCTTTAAAAATTTTTAACGAATTTTGTATCGTTCAAATCAATCGATATGACATAAATTACTATTGATCTCCACAGTATCAACTTCAAGTCTATAAAAAATTAGCAGCGAATTCAGTATTGACGAAAACTGAGAGGTGATTCGAAACTTTTGATCGATAGTGTGTAACCGTTGAGAATTATAATTTTCGAGAACATCAACCTGAAATTGCTGTTTAGTGTGCGGAGAGGCAGAATGTGTCCGCTTGGTATTAGCAGCGGGTGCTCGGCCATCAACGCCTGATCTCCGAGGGGGATCCCCTCTTCACTACGCCGCTCAATGTTGCGGTTCGGCCGCAACTGCCGAGCTTGCTGTGCCTAAGAAAGTTGGCCTAAAGGTCCTCCAGACCCTTCTCGAATTCGGCGCTGATGTGAACGCAAAGGACGAAGACGGAAGGCAGCCAATTTTATGGGCAGCAAGCGCTGGTAGCGTGGAAGCTGTGCTAGCTTTAGCTAGGTAAACTTTAATTTTCCAGAAGAAGTTATAGTTCCTCGAGATACTTTGTCACGTGAAAAATCATTTAAAAAATAATTCTGTAAAATTGCATAAAAATTTGACAAAATTTTCTTTCCTTATTCTATGGAATCTGGTGTATTTCCTTTCTAACAACTCTATTCCTCGGCACTTTGAACTGCAACTCAATCTTCCACGAACGAAACTTAACTTCGACAAGAACTATTTCTGACGAGACCAATTTTGCATTCTTCCCAGAAAAAAAAAAAACAAGTCGAATCGAATTGTTCTAAAGTCGATAATTAAAATACAGAGCCGGTGGTTCAGCTGCTGCAGGAGCTGCAGACAAGGATGGCCTGACTGCTCTTCACTGTGCAGCATCGAGAGGACACGCCAGATGTGTGGAAGCCTTGGTGAATCTCTGCGGTGCTCATCCTGATCACGTCGATGATAATGGCTGTTCAGCTCTGCATTATGCTGCAACTCTTGGCCACGCTGACGCTACGGCTCTAATTCTGAAGCTGGGAGCCGATCCGAACCGACAGGACCGAAAGGGTAGAACGTAAGTACTGTAGAGAAATACAGATTTCGTTAACTTCAGTTTCGCATTCGTCGTTCTTCTTATGTTAAGATTTTGTTAAATACACAGGGTGGGTCACTTTAAACAGGCCAACTAATTGTCTTCTTCAGCTATAGTGGTACGAGAAAATTTTTACACGTGATTTTTTAAATGGCAAAATATGAAAAAAGAAGTTTTAAAGTCCGAGGTCATTGTAGAGCTATATTATGTCTGCTACAGCATACAGTAGAAAAAAGTAGACACATTCACATAAAAAAAAACTGAAAAAAATTTGTCTTCCATCTTATTCACCCCTTGAAATCATTTAAATTACGTATCAAAATTTTCTCGTACCACTGCAATAGCTAGAGAAGATAATTAGGCGGTCTGTTTCACGTGGTGCACCCTGTATATGTAAATATTTACGAAACAGATGAATAATGTTATAAAAATCTACTATCTTTTTCTTCTAATTCGAGGCAATTATCAAGGAACATTTGTTCTAGCTTTCTACAGTAAAAAGGACTCTTAATTCTCTAAACTTCTTATTTTCAGGAAGACATTCACGATGATACTTAAACATGCGTTTCATTTATAGGACAATTGATTTCAGCGCGTCGGTAGTGCAACTAGTATTCATAGGTCACAGAGTACATCGACACTAGTATCTTCCATATGCATGAAACAGACGTAGATAATCTATGTAGCTTGCTATAGACAAGATCGTATCATCAATATATCTCTGGCGTGATATAGGCGGTGCCTTGGACATTAGAGTTAAAGACAACGGCAGTAAATATCGCAGTTAAAAGAAACTTTTCTAATGAAAACAATAAGTAGGTGATACGACAAAAATGTAAGGAGACGTTTATCCTTACTTTTTCTACAGAATGTCACTGAGGAAAAAAAAGAATGTTTACCTTCAATTTTTAAAAATTTTAAATGGAATACTCAATTTTTCTTTTGGTATTATGAAAGTACGTCATCGAAATGTCCTTGAGACAATCCAAAGTCCCTGTATATTACAATATCATTCCGTATTCCACGTAAATTAAACGCTAAATCTAAATACCCGATTGATTTACAGAGCAAACTATACTATTCAGAAATCACAGGATAATCGAAAAAAAACCTCAGCTGTTAATTGCTAAAATTTAAGGAAATTAGGAAAGAAAATGCAACACGTTTCAGACCAGCGCTTTGTGCGGCGTCCAAGGGTCAGCTGGAAACCCTGAAGATTCTTGCGCAGCACGGCGGTTCCCTTTACGCGAGGACAGTGCGCGGTACAGGAGTCGCGCACGAAGCTGTCGCTTCCGGTAGGATCGAGTTGATCAAATGGCTGGCGAAGAAGCGTCCAAGTACTCTGGACGTCGCTACGCACGATGGGAAAACACCGTTGCACGTGGCGGCGTTGCACGGACATTTAGACGTGTGCAAGGTCCTGTTGGACAACGGTGCAAGGATCAACGCTATGCTTCGAACCAGCAAAGGGAATCTGATGACAGCTTTGGACGCAGCTCTCTACAGAGGGTACAGAGATTGCGCGAAATTGATACAAATGCACGGCGGTACCACCGCGCAACAGCTGAGGATGCAGAAAACTGTACCGAATAAAGGTCAGGTTAGGTATATATACGCTGCCGTTCATAAGTATTAGGACACCCGTTATATTCCTTTGGAAACTACCGTATGATTTAAATTGCATTTTCTCGTTGAAGTTAGTGTGATGTGTTAGTAAAAATGTGCGTATGTACTCGTTATGCTTGGAGATTCTAGAATGAATTGCGTTTTTTAGGATCTTCATCATTTCTTTGTGACTTTTCTGTGTAATCATAATGAGGCTTGTTTCACATTCAGTAAGTAGATTTTAGTGGATTTCGACAGACGTCTGTAGAATTCGGTAGAATTCAGTAGGATTCAGTAGATTTTAGCCGATTTTAGTAGATTTCAATAGATATTAATAGAATACAGTAGATTTGAATAGAATTCAGCAAATTTCAGCAGAGTTCAGTAGATTTCAAAAGATTTCAGTATGCTTCACATTCAGTAAGTGTTCCAATACCTACTGAATGTGAACTAAATCTAAACAGTCATTGCAAAACGATTAAGATAGAAGAAACAGTTATTCAATTTGAAATCTAGTGGTACAAGGGACACGTACATTACCGGCCAAAAGTTTGGGATCACTGTGCATTGGAAATTATGCAAAAACTTTGGTGAAGAAATTTAAATCATGTAACACATTCCATTAAAGCATAATAGGTGTCCTAGTACTTATGAACGGTAGTGTACGTATTCAGAAAGATACATCTGAAGTAGACGAGTAGATCAAATGAAAATTACACAGAATATACGACCCATTCTCCAATTTAACTTTATATTTATTAAAATAGTTAATTAAAAGTTCAGTTTATTAAATTAGATATCATATTCTGGTGAATTAATAAAGTGCCAGTGTCAGTAAATTAACGTAATTCGTCAAAATGATAAGAAATTTATTTCTTGTTCCTATTGAATTTTTAATTTTCATCGAAATGACTTCAGTGTTCGCAACGAAAATGCACATGAGGCACATGGACAGCAGTACCGATACAGAAAGCAGCCCCTGTAGACGAGGTCGTAGCTACAAACTTCCGAAGCTGTACTACGAAGAGCAATTGATCGAGAAGAGAACGCGACGAAGAGGAAATTTGAGAAAATTGGCTCGTCAGGATAGTAGAAGTTTCAGCGAGGAGGAGGTCAGGCTGTCGAAAACATCCTCGAAGAAAGATCATCAAAGGAGAGCTCGGAGTGAATCAGCAAGGTGAAACTTTTACTACTTTGTACATTTACGATTTGTTAATAAAGTTTGCCTAATTTTTCTTTCATTTTCTACGCATACAAATTTAAATCAATAACGCAGAAATAAATTGAAAACTTACGTTTAAAGTAAATTAGGAATGGGACTCTTTGAACTGTAATTTGAAGTTGTATAAGTAAAATTTACAATAGTTGCAAAACTTGCGATAGTTTTTTTAAATTTCTATACGCAGTATAATATAAAAGCTTACATCTTCGAATAAATAAAACAATTAAAAAAGGCAAATATAACGAATATTAAGTTCCAACAAGTTTCTATTTCCTTTTACACACACAATGCATAGTATCAAAACTTAGATCTTCGAATAAACAATTTTCAGATACGAAGAAGATGACACCGATCGAAAATTAAGAAGAAAGAGGAGTAGAAAACGTTCAACGAAGTCTCGGCAAGATTCCAGTGAGTCGTCCATAGAGTCAGACAGTAAAACGGACAGGAGCAATGAAACGGAGAACAAAGACGGCATCACAAGGGACGAAGTAGACGACGAGAGCGTAAGCGACGATAGTTTAGAGGTGGTTGTAGTACGAAAATCTTTGGAGAAGAAGTGTGAAAAGGTGGTGTCTGGAAGGAGATCGAAAACGCCTAAAGAAAGTTCAAAGGAAACGAAGTTCACGAAAACACACACGAGCACTAGAAGAAAATTGAAGTCGAGCAGGTCGAAAACGTCGGAGAACGGTGAATGTGCGAGCAATCGTATACAGCCGTCCGACAAAGAACAAGGGCCAAAAGAATCTACCTCTCAGAGTCAGGAAACTCCGAGAACTTCGATAGACGAGGATAGAGATAATCATGAGAAGATCATCGAAAGTCGATATCGCAGAGATGTAACCGACAGCACCAGCCAAGAAACCGTCGAACGAGTGATCGTGACAGCCATGGTTCACAAAGATCAAGGACCAGACACTCCGAAATCGATCGTGGAAACTTCAAAGGAGGTCACCTTCGACGACAGATTAAAAACGGAGGAAATCAAGACGGAAGAAGTGTGCAGAGAGACTAATTCCAGCGCCAGCAAGATGACCGATATTTTAGAGAAAAACGACGAATCGAGGAACAATCTCGTGACAAAAGCAGCTAATCTGAAGAAAGACGTGGAAGAAATGAGGCAACAGGTTGCGCAAGAGAAGATTCAAAGGGAAGCAGACTCGAGACGAAGTCTGGAAAAAGAAGACAGAAAGCAAAGTGAAGATGTAAAAGATGTAGAGAGTGGGCAAAATGTAAAAATGGATCGAGATGAAGAAGATGGGAAAGGTGAAACGCCTTCTGTCGGAGAGAAAGAACAAAAGGAGAAGAAAGACGAAAAAGGTAAGATTTTAAATGAAACGGTAATTTTTATTTATGAATAATGTTCGAAAAGTGTTATTAACGAAGATTATAATTTTGAACGAATCGAAACGATTGTTTATTCGGAATTATTCTCATTTAAAGAAAGTTTTAGTTCTCGTTTAAAGAAAATTTTCTGTTTTTATCCAGAACCTATGGAAGAGTTTTAATTATTCTCGTTGAAAATTTTCTGTCAATTTTCTGTAGAGTCCTCTTTCCAGGTAGGTTAGACGCACACGGAACGACCGAGTCGGAGAATTCCATGTTGGATTCCCGGAAAGAAGAACGGCAGAGTCAACAGGAAGTCGACTCCGCCTCGAAATCCGAAAGAACGACGCCTGAAATGAAGTCTGACGACAGTCACGACAAAGAAACTCACAGCGAGAAAACAGACGTGTCTAAGCAGGCTTCCAAAGAAGACCACGGAGAATCGGAGAAAACGAGCAAATCTGAAAGTCCAGTTAGCCAGAAGAGCGTGCAAAAAGAGGATACCACACCGAGAACAGCTGTGGAGGACATTCCACCGTCGGAGGAAGAAGAGAAAAAGTCGACGCCAGAGGAGACAAGAAGTAAGTCGAGAAGTAAATCAGGAATCGTCAAAAGGAGGCAATCGTTCGACGAAAGAAGATCTTCCAAGTCTTCGTCTTCGAAACAGTCGGATGAAAGCCCTAAGAAGAGCGGAGGAAGCTACAAGAGAAGAGAATTCAGCAAGAGACGCGATTCTTCCGCGAGCAAAATTTCTATAAAATCGTCGACAGAAAAAACGAACGGAGAACATGGAGAGAAGACGTCAGAGGAGAAGGAGAAACCTGAAGAAAAGGTGACCGAAAGCGTGCAAGGAAGAGAAGCAACGAGCACATTGGTGGAAAGTTCGAGCAAGAAACCACCGGATGAAAAGGAGCAAGTAGATTCTACTCGTCGAAAATCGGTCGATTTCTCGTCGTCGAAAGATTCCGCGTTGATGGAAGAAGCTGAAGACGGTTCGTCGAATGTCGATACGCCAACCGCTACGAAGAGGAAGATGTCCGACGAGGAAGAAGCTGCTCGAACTTCGTCACCGGCGAAGATAGACGATCAGAAGGAGGACGAAGAGGCTGTGAAACTTAAGGATCGTCCTGTGGAAGAGGCATTGTCCAGGGGTGAGTATTAAGTCCGCTGTATGAATGTCTGTATGCTATTTCACGTGCTTTTAGAAGAGGAGAATTTTCGATATATCGACGAAAGCTCCTCGAGTTCCCCAAAATCGGCACAAACCAGACGATCGAGACCGCCAACGGGAAAGATTAGGAAAATTGGACGATCTACTTCTCGATCGTCGTCGAAAAAGTGTTTATTCGAAAGTTCAGAAGAGCGTTCTCCAGACAGGAGCGCCATAGTGGCAGTGATCGAGAGTCCGGAGTGGGATGAAGAGAACGAAGAGATCGAGAAAGAAATTAGGGACGCGATCGGGGGGGACGCGGAGCACGAGACGGAACCTGAGGAAGATAACGAAATGGGTGTCATGAGGGTGTTGCCGAGCACAAGCGAGGAAGAGATCTCTCGGGCTGGACCCGAAGTGTGCGGAGCTTCGGCGACAGATTCGTTACCTCAGGTAAGAAATGCTTAAGAATTTTGTTAGGATTAAATGTAGAATTTCTTCTTTTTTTTTTTCGTATAATATCAGCAATCAGAATTGGATTCTTTTGACTAATGCGATGGCGTAAGATCCAGACATTAGAGTCCTTTGTGTAACATGATGAGGGCACTTCTATTGAAGAGACCTTCTAGCCCTCATTTGAGGTCGATTGGTCTTTTTAATCCTGTTAAATGTAGAATTAAATATAATATTAATTTTGAAACAATTCCTTACTTTAACATATGTTTTTAAATAGCAAAGAATTGTTAAGATTAAACGTAGAAATTAGTATAATATTAATTCTGATACAATTCTTCGCTTTGAAGTATATTTTTAAATTCTAATTTCCATGAGATGCACGTTACAAATTTAAGTAGTAAAATAGACCATTGACGACTGAAAATAGTCTAAAATAGTAACAGAAAATAGTTATAAATGTTGAATAAAATGTATCGTAGAAAAAATGTAACGCTAATTAATTATCGTTAATTGCACGGTTTAAGCAATCCTAATTTACCACAGATTTTCAACAAATATTGTACCGTCACTTTAAACAATTATCTTCTCCGTTCTTTAACGCAGGTACAACCCAGTGCACGTACACGTTTAACACGAATTCAAAGTCCTCAAGAAAGCAGAACCAATCGACTGGAAGGGAAACAACGTCGTGACAGCGGTGGTAGAGACAGTGGTATAGAACCTAGTCCAAGAGTATCGAGAATACCGAGAAGAAGAATCATGAAATGTTGTCCAAACACTGACAAACAGCAAGCTCTTAACATGGATACCATAACGAGGGATGTGCAAATCAGCTTACGTCGATATCATCTGGAAAGGAAGATTTTTTTTCAACTGATGGAATTAAAGAGACTACAAATACGACACGGCAGAGCGAATGAACAAGTTCTCGTTAAACGACAGGTACAATAAAATTAACTATTTTATTTATCATTTGTAAATACTTCAATTATTACTTATTCCATTATTCTTCTTAGGTCGATGCTTTCCATAAAGCTGGTATGTCTGGGCCCGCCCTTGGCGTAACGAAATACGATCAACCCTTGACATTCAGGTTACTGTTTCTCTTCTTTTTTCTTTAACACTTTACCGACCTCTCGTTGTTGAACTCTTTTCGAGCTCCGTCTTTACTATCGTGCGGAAGCTATACAAATGTTCAATTAAAGTTCGTGAGAGTGCCTACTATATCGTCCGCTTTCTCTTATTATAGGGGAATTAAAATTAACAACATTAAAGAGCGGTAAGCGTTGACAGCGAAAAGCCGATTCCGGTCGGTAAAGTGAATGAAGAAAAAGAATTGTATTTTTATAAACTTGATAATGACGATGTAATTGACATTTCTAAATAGACATTTCGAAGCTTTCTTGTACGATCAACTGAGGAAACTTCAGAAAAGGCCAGCGACCCCAGATTTCTGTACAGAAGCGAAACAGTGTACCCAGAAGACTCATCGCTGTCATTCAGAATTTAATTTTAAACGTTCCTGCTTAAATTTGAATCGGGTTATCTTTATCTTCGTTCGTACACGATGCGGACAATTTTCTTAATCTGCTGAATATTTTTCATAGACTTCGCGAGTATTTTTGAAAAATTATCAGTGAATATTTCGATGATACTGCAACAGTTTTATCGAAGATCTGATGAATCACGGAAACAATATCTGTCAATCGAGAAATAAGAGAAAAATCTGTCAGAAAAAGACAAGTTTAAGATTTGACACAATGTTATACTTTCATGTTAAATAATTCTGAAATGGAATACTCAATGCGAGAATTCAATCCAGACGATTTTCAAAACGAGTCAGTTTCCCTATTGTGATTGTAGATTATAATTGCAGTAGGTGGAGGCGGTCAGGAACAAGTGGATCTTCTTCCAAAGATAGAGAGCCGTGGAAAGGGCCAAATGACGGTAAAATATCAATTGCTAAATAGAAAATAATTATGTGTACATGTACGAATGTTTAAATTCACTCGAGATTCCGTTTTAAATTATAATTGTCAACATACTTCCATTCGATCAATGTCCCAGTCAAATTATATATGTCCCATCAAGTAATATATTCAAAATTTAAGTGTTTCGAATTTTCAGAGAATTGTCAATATACTGTCATATTTTGAAATTTGTATTATTTTCTTAAGTACAATCAAAATACTTCACATGTACTAATTAAAAATTTTCCAACACTAATTTACCTAAAAGTAACGGGGCTAAATTTGCTACATTGCTCGTTGCAGGTGGAAGTAACGCGTGGAGAGGAGAAGCAGATAATAGCTCTTCCAGCTGAAAGACTGGATCGTACGAGAAAATATTACGTGACGTTCACTGTCAGAGGGGAAGCCCAACAAGAAACGGAGAAATCGAAATCTTCGGTCGGTGTCCAAAGGAATGCCAAAAGCGTTTAAACAGTCTTCAATCCTATACGTCACGCCTTCCTCGTTTGGCGATTTTTGCTGCGTTTTTCGATCTTAACCCTAGTGCAGTCTTCGGGTCTTTTACGACCCATCGCCATCTTATTTCTTTAAAAACTTTTTCCGTCGTCAAAATTACGTTCAAAATTCATCGTCTAGGTTCACATGGCGTGCTGGTAACAAAAATTGTTATACATTCAGGTCTTTGGGTCTTTTTTGACCCAGGCACCGTAACACAGTCCAATCGGAAGAAAGCACTAGGGTTAAATAATGCGTAACATGTTTCTATACCTTTTTACACGATCTCACATTTTTCTGTTAAAATCGCCAAACTAATCGAAAGTACACCGAGTTTCATTTGTACAATTCGAAACTGCCAGAAAAAAAAAGGGTTTGTGTGTAAATTAAAAATTGTGTGTAGTATTAAGTAAAAAAAAAATGTACCCTGTATAAAATTCGACCAAACTTTGCTGTAAAAATGTTAAATAGTATACAGATATAAAATTGTACAAGGAAAAAAAGTGTTTCGTCCATGAAACAAGGATTGCGTTGTGAAAATTTCGTTGCAAAAGTGTGGGAGAAAAATTTTTATACGATAACTCAACTGCATTCGATTGAAATGCGTTCAAAATTGAATACATCGTAAATCATACTCGCAAGTGCTGAGTCGAAGGAAGACAAAATCATTCTACGTGTACAATAAACGATACTTCGTTCTTGCGAATGCAAGGATCATGTCGTAATTAACGCATACATGTTCTGTATATTTGTGTAAAGGGGATCCGCTAATATGTAATTCTGTGTAAAATAAAAAGATCACGAATCATGCTTCTCCGATTTTCACGTTTTCGAAATCAACGGTTCGTTGGCACGTTAACCATAACAAACACTTTTTCCATTATTATTCGAATCGAGATGTATCCCTTTACTGTGCGATGAAAAAACGGTGAGTAAATTTACCTAACGTATTATTGAAAATAATTTAAGTGTAAAATTAAGTAAATAAATAATAGTGAATAAAAATAGGTAATTTAAATATTGATAAATTTAGTAAACAGAATTATTTAAAAATAGAAACATGAAAATCCTTCAAACACCTCTCAGTGTTCCAAACTTTCTATAAGTGTGATACAGTATCAAAAATAATTAAAATATAAAATTGAGTAAATAAACAATAGTAAATGAAACCAAATTTACTTAACATGTTATTTAAAAAGACACACATAAAAGATATTTCAAATTTCTTTTAGGGTTCCAAATTTTTTACAAGTATCACAAACAACTTTTGTTCACTACAATGACTACGACTAAACGTATCATTCTATTAACATTAACAACAAACTGTATTCGAAGACAATCGTACGTGGGTAAATGTCATAAGCTAATTATATATGCAGCTGTTCTCAATCATTGTCGACGAAAACAGTTCGTTTCTTCAATCTAGACCTCTATAGAAACGAAAACGTCATTATTAGAAGGGTGCCGTCATTACTCCGTTCTATTATAAAGGAATTGGTAAACATAGTTATTTTCGACTCAACTAGTAACTCGTACGGATTATCGATCTGGCTCTGATGACGTATGTAGCTAAACAAATGGTCGAATGCCTAATCAGTCCGATTCACTGGTGAAACGTGCCGTTGCCAGTAATACCGCACGGTGCTCTTTGTCAATAATGCCGACACCTCAGACGCGGTCAAAAAGAGTTAGACAGAGGTTCGCGACGATGCATCTTGAATATTCCATCGAACAGACGAGATACCTGTGAGAAGCCTTCGCATGGACAAATGGCTCCAAGATAGTAAGCTTTGGCTTTTCGGTAGCACGCTACCTTTGCTACCAAGAAGGTAAACACTCGTATTTTTCTTTCCCCCGTTTGCGCCACATTTTATAGGTTTTTCGAAAAATACGATTCAATTTGTCGCTGGAAAATAATTTACTTCGCTCGATCGTTCTAATGTTGGTAATTTACTACCAACTATTGTAATTTGTTAGTTTCACAAATGGGAGAGACCTATCGTATCGTCGAACAGAATCATTTTTTGGTTTGTCTTGGAATTTTTAAGTATTTTGTACTGGAAGTATCTTTTTTTAATTTTGCTACTGGGAGAATGTTGCATCCTTGAGATTAGTTCTTTTAGAATGAAATTCTTCCTAACCTTAGCTCTAGTGATTATGGTTATTTTTTGTATCTCTGGTTTAGATTGAATTTTTTAACGTAACTTTGTGACACTTTTTATTTCATTTGTTGCTAGTGTTTTAGTATTAGGTGAGGTAGATTTGTATGCGTGTTTAAGTAGTTTCTTTTCTATTTGTTATTTGTTTATATTTCATTCTTGTTTCAAGATTAGCCAGTATTAAAGATACTGAGAAAAAAGACTATTGTGACCGGAATTTGGAAACTTGTTCTTTTCAGAATATGCGACTTTGACATTGAATCGAATCGATCGGTATTTGTTACATAGTTTTAGCACGCAACGCACATTATATGCAGTGAACGCCGTGAATAACCATTAAATGTAGTTGATGTATCAACAGGAAAAGTAAACTTTTAGCATCTCCGTTAAGACAAAATTAAGTTTCTAAGAGCGAGGAAATAGTTTCTAGAATTCTTCGTTGAAATGTCAGCCGACTATATTTGTTTCATTTAAATATAAATAAAAATATAATATTTTCTT